AGAGAGAGATAAAAATGAGTCGTCGAAACATTACCACCTTATCAACATAATAATACTAAATCGTCAAAAATACGGAAAGAAGTACAATACTAGTTCTAGTCCAATATAACGAATGAATGCCCATGACATAATAAAAATGACAATATTCATAGAAAAGACGATAAACAAATAAATAAACCTTTGCCCAGCGAAAACGCGGCGCCTCACCGAAAACTTCAAATCGTGTACTCTTAAATTAAGCAAAATTCTCATGCATCGCGTCAACTGTTATCTCTGTCAAAAAAAAATTCAGCGGGGATGTGAGTCGCTAGTCAGTGAGTAATAACACATTAAACCACAACCGTTTTTAATTGGGACAAGTCAGAAAACATGGCTGGTATAGTATACAGAAAATATCATAAGAATGCCCTTTTCAAAACAATACAATAATCAGCCTCGTCATGTGTTTCCTGTAACAGGAATCAATGGAACAATCCGGTATAAACTCGTAAGCATGTTTTCATAGCAAATTTTTTTGTCTGGGAGGTTGTCGAAGAGAAGGATCATGTCCCTTCAGATTTATTCACTGTTGAAGCGATCCCATACGTAAAAGGCAGTCACAACTACTACTGCTCGTAGTGTCCCTACTAGACGGGAAAGACTGTAAAACTGTATGCTAGAGTTCTACGTTCCTACTAGCTATACCACTCATAGCCATGCCGTAATAATCGTAAATACAGAGGTGCACCAGGTCTAACGACACCCGTCGTTAGTACGGGATCCTTCAAGTCCTCCTCCCATTATATTTTCTTTGTAAACAGTAATACTCACATGGAAGCATTTTCAAAATATGTACAGGGCATTTATCATTCTCATCAAATCAAGTAATCCAATTTCGATAACAAATATATCATATTCTCAAAATAACAGTAAATCGATGTCAGTAACAAATAGAAGCATTTTAAATAATCGTAAAACATCTGAATACACTGTTCGTACCAATATCAAGTAAAGCACTTGTCCACATAGCAAATTTCAAACATTCATAAACATTTATTTTCAAAAATCAATGTATAAACATCAGTTATGGAAAAATCGCAATGTCGATAAGATTAACTACTCAACACTCTAGAAGCGCAAACTAGACCAAAGCTCGATTTCTTATCGATCCGAATGGTCAATCTCGTGTGTAAATCTATAATCGATTATAAGTCTATTGTTACTGCCCATCAATTCACAATACATTCATCTAAATAAACAATCTATTTGCGAATGCGTTTTTCTATTCTTAAAACTTACTTCAATCTTTTTTTACCAAGTATAATCGGAAAACATTAATAAAACAGTAGTATTGAGTTTACTCCCCTTATCTTCTTAATAGAGATTAAAGTAGTACAAACAGAAAATTAACTTAGCCCTTGTTTGCTCACCAAACTTCTTAAATATATAGCTGATCAATTTGACTAATTCGTTTCTAAGCCTATCTCATTGAAATGATTCTAGTTCATTGGTATCTCTATTCAAGTAAATTGATATTACCAATATCCAAATCATGTTATTACCTTTAACCTCAATCCATGACAATATGTATAACATCATGTGAGTGAAAATAAAAGTATAAGAAATACTTGTTACTAATTTTTCAAAAGCTTGGTTCCACAACACTTTCTCTTCTCTTCCCTTTAAGCCGCAGCATAAGTGCTGCACTCCTTTCCCAGAAAATTCCTTTTAACTTTTTTTTTTTTGAGAAAACTACCCTCTATAGCCCCTCAAAATTTTAATAGCCCAATGTTTTGTCTTACTTACAAAAAATGGCCCTTTCGGCCCAAAAGTATTGGACATAGTAGACCGAAAGAATGAGTATGACAACATATAGCAGCTGTAGCTTAGTGATAGAGCGCCTGTTTTCCTAACTTGAAGGTCGTAGGTTCGACCCCTGCCTGCGCGATAGAGCAACCCTTTTTTGCAATGTATAATCTGTCTGAACAATGTATCAAATTGTATATAATTGTGTATTTTCTAATATGTAAACATAGTGTATTAAATTATATACAATTTTGTAATGTGGAATGTGTGCACACTGTGTATTTGGAGTGGATCATGTTATTTTGTATGTGACTAGTCTTTTTGTATATATTTTGTATAGTTTACATCTATTTTTATATATTTTTTGTATAGTTGACTAGTCTATGTTTGTATATTTTTTGTATAGTGACAGTTTTCTTTCCAATATTCAAAAAAAAAAATTGCTTCCTGTCTAATACAGTCTAAAAAATGTAAATACATGGTCTACCTCTACATTGGACAAAATAACACAATTGAGAATGGTTTGCTATTAGTGGATTCAAAAAAACATAAAAAAGGTAACTAAATAGGAAGAAGGAAGAGAAGGAAAAACCATCAGATTGAACTTAAGTATAAACCCAACGACTTGCACCTTTGTAAAACATAAAAGGACGCTTTATCTTGGATGGAAGAACCGAACTTTATCGTGAAATTGAAAATCAAAACGCAGTCAGTCTAAACCCATTGTGCTCGATTCGTGGCTTTAGATCTGGACGGAAACTCAAACACCGGTGATCCTCCATTAAATCTGGCGACTCTTTCTTCTCGTTTTATCACTGTTTTGGGGATTTTGAATATATAAAAATCTAGATCTGAAAGATGGTTTGCTTGCTAATTTGATTTCGGCAGATTTCTGGCTCGGTATATAGCTTTTCCGACCGTGATCAGTTTTTCCGGCAAACCATTTCGGGCCGAAAATTATTTCCCTCCCATGTTGAATTATCCTTATTTGTTGTGTACTGTTGTTATATGAACTTGTTATGCTGGAGATTATGGGATATACCTTTGAATATTTACTTTCGCCGGAATCTACTCCACTAACCGATAAATAGGCCCGACTCTGCCGCCTACATTTTCTACAAGAAAGAGAGGAAAGTCTACATTTGATTAATTGAAAATTGAGAAAGTAAGAAATTGAAGTTGGGAAAAGGAAGCTACTTTTTCTCAAAGGAAAGAAAAGATTTTGATTGCTGCTTTCCTGTAAGCTGACAAACTGGAGCTGGAATCTGTTGGAGAAAGGGTTTCCCATTGGAGTTGTAGGCTAGGGACAAACCTAGGGCCATTGATGAAGAGCTTTGAAGGCATGTGGGTGCAGATATATAGTTCGGTGGCTAGCCACTTGAATTATTTTAGGGCTAATAAATGCATATTAAAATTTTTGGGCAACCGGATATATTTGTTTTGCCGATGGGCCTATAAAATGAAGTTCTCTCTTTTTTTTCCTATCACGTTGTTGATGGGTTTAAAGACTTAAAGCCGATTGCCATACTCTTTGTTTTTTTTTACTATCCTTTGTTTTTTTTTTAATTTACTTACTACCTTGTACTTAATGAGGGTATTACAGCTGACTTCAAAATTGCAGTTGAATAACATTTCTAATAGACAGAAGCATCTCTCCTAATCAGTTATAACCATAGCGGTAACTAGCATCTCAGGTAGAGTGGTGTAACAAATAGTTGCACTCACGTCTCATGCGTCACTGTTCTAATACCATAGCCAAACTATGTGATTCAGAACAGTGAAATAATTGATGCACTGCAGATTCGAGTCACGTAGGTCTCAGATGTCTTCATAATGAAGCAAAGTTAGCAACGACCTAGAAATATGAAATAGATACAAGATGGGAATTTTGGGAAAAAATGTGGTATCCAGACTGTAAAGATTAGTCTCAAACTGATCCACATTTGTATTTTTATCGAAGATCCCATTGAGAACCTGTAACCTCTGCAGTGAATTAAGATCCCC